ATAATAAATATACATAAATGTATAATGTTATGAGATTTATGCTATTTAGTCTAAACATTGATGTTTTCATGTTATAATTTGTGTCCATTCTAGAATGAAAGAGGTATAATTTGTATTTATTTCCTATTTTTTTATGGTGGTTACAAGATCAGTCAAATGTATCAAACCTGTACAGAGATTGATTACTGAAAATGACAGATAAAATATAAAGTTTTTTCTTAATAAATGTTTGATAACTATCTGGACATTATAAAGATTTTGCATATGAAATTTCAAAATTTTCTGATTTATAAAAGTATTTTTAATCTTAGAATGAATATTACTTTGGATAGATAGGCAACATACAAAAATAAAAAATAGACATGAGAAAAACATTGCTTTATAAACCTTAAAACTTATAAAAAATTTGATATTTTGTGCATGAAAGCATTATAATGTTTACTTCTAATCTGCCAAATTTCGTTCACATTTGCTTACTACTTTGAAAGTTATAGCACAAAAACTATAACAAGCACAAAATGGTTATGTGTTTGGTCCCTAGGACTGAGCCTGTGATGAAAGAGTTAATTAAATCAATCATTAAAAGGAAATGACTTGAGAAAAACCTGATATTAATGGGCAAAAATGATAATTGAAGTTTGAAGATGTTCCTGGATGGATTGCAGAGATGATATGTGCAGATGTCTGGGAGATAAAAGGAACTTATTCAGAGATAAGTTTTCATAACCAAGAAGGGAATGAAACCAAACATGTGCTAAGCATATCTTAACATTTTTATTCACATTTCCTTTCAGATTAATTGCATATTAGCCTGCTATAATTAAAATAAAGGATGATATTTAGCTTTTAACTGTACTTTATAGTACAGCTAGGTCACTTGATATCTTAGTATCTGGGGTTAATGTGTTTGGGTGTAGTAGGGCCAGAAGGTGTACTTCCAATAAGCTTAATTATTTTTAAAATGACAGAGGCTTCTTTGTATGATCAAATATTTCAGTAATATATCAATGTTGATAAACATAAACTTTTTGCAGATTTATTTAATTTTTAGCTATAAATAGTAAAATATAATGTCCAGAATAACTTTTGACTTGTACTAAATTTTCAAACAAATATATTCATATTAACCAGTAAATTCAAAATGGCCCTGCTGATTTGTCATGTGCTACGACAATAATTTTCTGTCCTGATGTTTCATTGCCAGGCATATATTAAACCACTTATATGCATAAGTTTCTAGACATACTGCTTGAATCTCATTAGTTTTATTAAATTCCAAATTAAATTGAAAAATGTTTTAGCACTCCAAACTGTAGATGACAGTGGTAGTTGTTTCACTATTTATTGTAGCTGGTAACAGTTTTAACTGGAAGAAAGCTTGCATCGAACGAGAAGAACACTGGAGACTATGGAAAGACTGGAAGAACAATATGAAGTTTTATTGTTTCAGTGGTGCTCATTATGCTGCTGTAGATGTTACTCATATATTTCAGGTTAGTTATGGAAAGTTCTTACAGTAACTATATATTTGAGGAAATCAAAACTTTAAACAAATTTTTTCTGAAAGCCCTGTTTATTTGTATGATGTTTTCATCATTGGTACTGTCATTGTCAAGTACACAAAGCTTACTTGTGTGTGGAAGCACATTATGCTAATATAGTAGTAAATTGACAAAAAACAATATATAAACATAATGAAGTGGTTTTATTTTGGGGAACTTACTGTCTTAGTTGTATGTAATAAATTTTAAGTCATTCTATTCTTCTGGTTTCAGATTCTTTAGTATGTTTTTTTTTTGGTGTTAGATAATTTCAAAGCTGTATCACTAAAGTCATCAAAAAAAGTTTCTTAATGGACCAGAGTTTGGTTTGTTTAGGATGCTGCTCAGTAAGAAATTATTTTTTTGGAACTTGTAAAATGTGTTGAGATTTATTCTAATCACTTTGAGTGAATTAGTTGATGTTTCTTTTTAGTTCTTGAAGATAGATTTTGCTGGTTGAATTTGCAATCTGACTGCATTTTTAGTCTTCTGCAAAGGTCTTTAAAGCCTGTTTTTAAAATGAGGATTGTGTGGAAGTAACTGCAAAATTAACCCCTTCTGTGATTTGTCCAAGAAAACTTTGGTGCTCTCCATGTTTCAAAAATATTTGCCTTAAGTTAATTTAGGGAAACTATTTCTAACCATATTTATTAATTATTTGCCCATATTTATTTACATTCTATCATGTTGTACAATCAGTACTCACTAGATGGGATTGGAAATGCTGTTTGTGCTGATCTCTGTTAGATTTATTTTGAATTATATATCATAAATACATTACTATTCTTTACTGTAGTTTCATTGCAATAATATATATCATGTGTAAATCCAGATATACAACATTTATTTATTGAGTATAATTTGTGAAGAAATATAATAATACTCACAAAATAACTTTTGCTTCATGAATATATATATATAAGTATAGGCTGTCAAAAAGTGAAATAAAAAATACCTGATTTTTTTAGCTCATCTTCAAAAAAAACCTGACACACAGAAGGTTAAGTCCATTGTTTAAGATTATGGTTTGAGATTCACCCGGTTGAAGGTCTGAAAGGTTTATTATATTATTCTGTATAGAATCAGCTTTTGTTTCGGTGTGTTATCTTGAAGAACATTGTTCTTCTATCTTTTTGTCTAAAGTTTTTTAAATAGGTGCTGTTTAAATATCTATTAACAGTAGTAAAATTCAAAATTAAGTTATACACAATGACTATATGCTCATTATTACCTAACTTTAATGTAATGATCAGTATTGTGTTGTATCTGTTTGGCACTTAACCCTTTTATATGTGCTTCAAATAGAGGAGTATCACTCTTAGAGCACTAGTTTAAGCCAAGTGTGAAAATTTTAAACCTTGCTGTAGTTAGATTTATTAAGATATTGATTCATTATATTGATGTTTAAATGGGAACCAATCAACCTCTCAGGATGATCAGCTGAGTTGAAACTATCTACATGTATGTTTACGTGATGTTGTGTGTTGGTTGTTGATTACACAGGCGTGTGTAATTAAATTTCATACAAGTTGTTTTAATTTTAATAATGGATTTTCTGTAATTCAGCTACACAGATTTAAAAAATAATATTCATTTTTTTCTATAACATAAGAATTTTTTACAAATGAGGAAGGAAAAAACCCTTACTTAGATCAAATTA